ATAAGCCTCTAAGCACCTTTTTGTACTGCCGGTTCCCTTGATGTCTTAAGCACATGCTTATTTTGCTTACTTAATGGTAAATCCAGCTATTATCACCAGCACGCTCCTTAGTTCACTAACCAGCGCACAGTTTGTAAATAAAAGTATTAGAGAAGCTATTAACTTAGGTCTTGCATTCATTCATTCATAAAAAGACATGCTTGTATATGGGCAGACACTTGGTAATGAAACTTCCCATCTGCATTGAAAAGCTGTAAGTTAATTGATATATTTGTCGTGATGAATTATTAGGATTACAGTTAGGAATTGACAGGCGCATAATTCTATTATAGCTGATCTCTTTCGAAACATAGCTTCCTGGTTATCAAGCCCATCAGACAATGATAGGTTCTGGATAGAAGAACTGGCTGTATCACTTTTCTCCGTATTTCTGATCGCTTCTGAATCTTGGGCAGTGGAAAGATTCACCGTGAAAGACGACGCAGTGCTATTCGTTATTCTAATTGATCCGTGTGCGTGACCACCTAATACAGCGGTGATATGCACATAGCAACGGAAATCGGCGCACTGAAACGCAGTCTCGCTGTCATGAATTAGTGACAGACATTACCGTGTAAGATGACAAGTAGTCTCTACCATTGTTTTGCTGATCTTAGCTAGCGTAACTATTGGCTGAGCGGATTCTGTGCGCAATACAGGGTAAGGCAAAATTATGTATTATTTTTATGAAAATTCTTAATTTAAGTACATGAATAATACATTTTAATTTACGTAAACGTATAAAAAATTAAAATACGTAAAATATTTTTGATATATTAATCAGAATGAAATAAATTTCTAAAAATAAGTGTATCTTAAGAGCAGTAGAGATAAGTTAAGTATGAAATAAAACAATCTACTGAGAAGACATGACGGATATTTTAAAGTATCCCATTTGAATGCGCTGTCAAGAAAAACTCCAAGATAATATATAGTACTAGTTTATGTTGCACTGGAAACAAACTAAGGGCCTAAATAGGATGGGAAATCTATGTAGATAAGAGAGCATCTGCGTAAATGTATAACACATTAGAAAGCAAATTTTGCATCTCATTCGCTAATCATAAAAAACAGCATTAAACATATTGCTTTACGACATAACCAATTTTATCATTATCACCAATATTCAATACTCCCCTACCCAGTTTTCTTAAAAAACTGCTGCTGTAGTTTTATGCAGTGGAAGCAGTGCGCTGTAAAAATATCGAAAAGAGTTGATAATTAATTTATAGAAAAGTGATAAAGAAACCTTGTTAGAAATGAAGATGATTAATATAAATTGGATAAAAAGGAAACTTGAATTTTGACTGTATGGTGGGAAAGGCTAAAAGGAAAGATCATATAACATTTGAATCAGATTTTAATATTTTGGGAATTACATCAATAATCGACTTTTTTCCCCTAAACAATAGATGCTGCCGCATTTTATACAAATTAACTTGGATTTTGCCAGTTATTTGCCTTTTACTTTCTTAATATTTTTATTAATAAATTTCATTCTTATTGATAAACATCGTTTTTATGATCTTTTCTGTTACATCTTTAATTGATGAGCTTATATCACAAACTTTCGTTTTCTTCAAATTATTTTTCCTTTGATGTAAATCAATTCAATAAAACTAAGAAATGGTCGTTTAATATATGATGAGATGATTGTGCACGCAGGTACGTTAAAGTGAAATAGCCTCGATGGGCATTTTTGTGTGAAAATAATATATAAGGTAAGAGATAAATGTTGCTAGAACTTCTGCTGTCAGTCATCTGCTTCGACAGCCGCTGCAACCTCTTCCTCTCAGCTAGATATTTATTGTTAACATTCTGGCGTCTATTCTCCATTTTCTATACTGTTAATTATGATGATAAGATGTTTATGTTTTAATGTGCTATCTTACTAACTTACTATAATTAAGCAATTTACGTAATAAATTAATTTTAAACAAGTTTTAAGATTATGTTTTATTTAAAAGAATAACTAACTTCATAACATATTTTCAACAAACCCCTATTTTGATACCAGCGCTGCAATACGTATTGATCTCGTTAAAAATATAATAAATAATTCTACTTATAATGTTAGTCGAACACTTCTTTTTTTGTTTCAATGCCATTCAAGGTTCACAGTTATGGCTGATTTTCTTAAACATTTACATAAGTTCCAGCTTATTAATTCGGCGGAATGTAGCCCATGTGAGACGGGGAGAGGAAGTGCTTTGCCATTTGCCGCCAAACTTTGAGCAGTAACATGAAAAATCAAAATCATAAGCATATAGTGTCTGAAAACTAACGAGAAAGTTTTTGTGCTACTGAGTAAAATTAGAATTTACTCTTATTACTTAGAAATCTATCCTTTAATCCTTACAAAATAATCCCTACTGCACCGTTCTAAACCTACAGGTTTGCGAGCTTTTCTACATGTAATGTTAACAGATGAAATATGGTAATACTACTGCGAACAAAGACCACTAGTTGCCGAATTGATCATCGTATCTTATACCAGATAGCGGCATACCTGTTATTTTTTTGTGTGTGTATGTGTGGAAGGGGGGAGCAGCTATTGAGAAGAAGGTCGTATAATTCAGTAAATCGAATTATTCCCTATTAATCTATGTTGCATGATGAGTATTTTGCCTAGCATAATTTATGCGGGGTAAAATACATTTCTTGTTTTTGGGGGCGTGTTACTTTTGTTTTCAGGTGTCGCTTAAGTTAATGAATGCAATATTCGATTACAACAAATTAGTTTAGCATTAGTCTACCTAAAATTTCTAAACAGAAAAGCAATGGGTGCATCCGAAAAGTTCAAATAAAATATTTTCGTTTTCATCACTGCGTGCTGTCGTGGTGCAAATGGGAGAATGCTCGGCTAACAGTCAGGAGATCCGGAGTTAGAATTGTAATGAAGGTAAAGCACATTCTCACGTTTTCTGCTTCAGATAAAACCTAATATTCTGCAGTGGCACCCGTCTAAAACATGGTAGACGGTAACTTGTCATGATTTGAATTTGAAGACTGGCCTTATCCTACCCCAGTCGTCTTTTAAGTGGGAAAGAATACGAGAAATATAGTCAATAATATCTCTGTAAGTCGATGGTATGGTAGTCGGGTGAAGGCTCAGAGAGTAAAGATTGATTGCATGATTTCTCAGAATAATATCTTGGAAATTTGAAATGCTTATGCATGTGGTAACACTCATAATCTCACTTAAGATTATTGGCCTTAAAATGTGACAATGTGATTTACTTGATATAAAAAGCACACTGGTTTCCCGTTTTACTACGCAAAAAAAATCTTCCCACTCCGCTTCCAATCTCCTGCTCTCCTCTTCATATCTGCATTTTCTAGATAGCATAATTACTTACTTTAGGTAGGAATTTTTAAAAAAAGTTATAATTTTTTTTAAATCACGAAATTTAAAAAATACTATTAAACCACACGCATGGTATCTACACCTGCTGTGGACAAACCAAAAGGAATTGCAATAATTCTAGCGTTGTTCTGAAAATTGTGATAAAGAAAGTGGAGAGAAAGTTGGAAGTTTAAAATGTTATGAGCAGATATTTTATATGCCTGCAGAAAAATGCTTTACATGCGATGCTTAACATGCAAACGTAAGTATTCCAACCTGATTTGTGACACCAAAAACCACCCGCGTCAGACTGACGGTCGAGTAGAGTTGGAAATACATGTCGAAAACTATTAAAAATTCCGTTAATGAGTTCTACGAGAAAAGCGAGCTTTTACAGACAGTTCGAGCAAATATTAAAAACAACACGAAAGAATCCATTTCCATAATATTTGTATTACTCGATTTTAGATCGCAGAAAAGTTTCATCAAGAAAGCTTTCGACGAATGGATTTGCTGATTATCGACAGTGAGTTTGTGAAAGTTTATAAAATTAGGCCAGGAAAAACCACAAAGATAAAAAAAAAGAACACAGTCAATTTCGCTTTGACTCACCCAATAAATATGAGAATTAAAATATATATACAAATTTTAGAAACAGATATAATTAGTGGCATTATAGTACCAGTACCCTATGAAAAGACTGAAAATCGGTGCTGAAGTAAAGGGTTGCAATTAGCAGACGCACTTCATTTTAGTAAACAGAAATGAAGAAGTTTCCTTACTTCTTGGGTCAGATGTGTATTGGAAGACTTTCAGGAAGGGTTTGTCGAATTAGTGGTGTGGACAAACTAAACTGGGGTGGTCTGTAAGCGGAACAGAAAACGCATGTAATACATCAAAAGCATTTAATATCATACAGAATTTGATACAAATTAAAAATAAGTTGATTCGACGTCGGAATTAATGGGAAATTTACGGCAGTTGGAAGTTCGGAAATTTCTAATAAATCCGATGAGAGTCACAGCTTAGAAAACGAAGTTACCTTTAGAAGAAGAATCCATAATTTTCGAGAATCCACAACATTTGAGAACAACAAATATACGGCTTGCTTGCCGTGGAACGAGTATGTAGGAGAATAAATTTGAGTTAGCAGAAAAACGATTTGAATCGCTGTGGCGCAGATTTAAGAAGAATCCGATTTCCATGAGCATTACAAAGCTGTAGATCAAGATTTACAAGAATGTATCGCAGAAGAATCGGAGTACTTAAAAAGTGAAGAAAAAGTACTTATTACCGCATCAAGCTGTAAGAAAACTGGGACACCCATAAAATTTCACTTTGTCTTTTCGACGTATCATCATATGCTGAAGGTAAACCATCATTGAATGATTGTATAGAATCAGACGTTTCTTCCCACTCCAAATCTGTTTCACTACTTTTAAAGTAATGTAAATACGGATTTTGGAAAATATAGCTTCGACTCTTGAACTTCCCTGAATTCTAACATTTGGATCTTACTGACAACCTTCCCTGCTATAGACTATATCTTTTATTACGTATGATCTTATGCAAAGTGAAAGCTTTAGTAAATTTTTATAAAAAACTAATAGAAAAAAGCGTTTCACGAAACTTTTTATTACCACATCATTCAAGAAAATTTTACACAAGCATTGCAATTATCAATAGCACACAATAGTTGCCATACATAATATGAAAGAAGAGAATTTTATATAACACTAAAATTTATCATAAATCTTCATAATATAAAAGTGCTCTTCAGTAGTGTAACATCTCCGAATAGATTGATTAAATCGATAACTTACCAATTAATGACATAAGTGCCTATTTAATTAACGTATTTATAGCAATTAAATTCATGAAAAGCTGATTGTATTCTGTAAAACTGTAAGATAACTTTTAATTTTAAAGATTTGCTTAACACATAAAGGAAACATAAATTATACATCAATGAGTGTTATTCAATTTAGCTTTAGTTAACAGGAATAAATAGAAGAATTTTAAAAAGAAACTAGTATAACATACAATTTCTCAAGAATATAAACCAATATCATTCACAAAAATATATTTTAATCTCCAAAGAACAAGTAAAGATATATATACACAAATTAATATAATTTTTTGAAACAGATATTTTGCTGTTAATGTTATCAAAACTAAAAACGTTTTCTGCAGACGAAACAAAACATTTTTACTATTGCATTTCATATCTTTTTTATTTAAAGTTTAGATTAGGTAAGGTTACTTGATTAAGATAGAGCACCTCGAGGGTTATCTGCTTGTGGGGAGGGATGCCTTCGTGGGAGGACTCTTTAAAGGAAACTGGCTCGTATTCACGTTACACATGGGGAAACCACAAAAACCAACCATGTAGCCAGCCTGTTCGCCGGGATTCGATCCCCGGTCGAACTGCCAGTGTTTAGCGACTTTATCGCTCGGCCGTTGGTGTGCCACTTAATTTAAAGGAAAACATTTGAAGGAAGTGATAAATCTGGCTGAAATAATTGAGCTGCCACTTAAGTAACTTCTGTATTCGAAAGCATAAATGTTACATTTAAAGTTTCATCGTTTGTTTGTATCATTATTAATTATCGCACCTATTTCTATAAATATAACAATAATCGTAAAAAATGGACCTGGTTTAAAACAATTATATTAGAAAAAAGTATTTGAGACAGCATGAAAATTTTTATTGCAATTATTTTGACATAAAAAGGAAAGTTCGAGGAAATTCAATTATTTTACCATATATTAATTGGTAAGTTTCAGCATGATTTTCGCTGATTGCCTTCAGATTTAAAAGCCGATTTTGAATCAAAATTTTACTAATTGGATCATTATAAAGAGCCCATAATTCCAGAAGATGTTATTATTCACATCATGAACTTACAGCCTACTCCCACAAAATTTTATTATTCTCCTTTATATTTTTGAAATTAAATGGCATAAGCTCTTTCCAAATGCATAAAGATCCGAGATTTTTAGTGACGGCTCCAAATAAAATGATGAGGTTAGCTCAGCATTGGGAGTTCATATCAATGGCTCCACAATACATACAGAAAAATGTACATTAAATGATACTGCTACTATTTCCTAAGCGGAATCATCTGCATTAAGGAAATTCACTTTTTGGCTAGACAACGTCAGAGCTTTAAAAGATCCAATCGAGAATTTTTCGAGATAGCCAAAGCATGTCCAAAAGTTCCAGACAATAAAGTCGCTTCATATCAGCTGGATCAGAGAACATACAAGGATACCCGGGGATGCATACAGGAAAAATGCAAAATCTCACACATCAATGAAGTCAGCCATTAGTCATATTATTGCGGATTATCATTTACCGATGTCCAAAATGACAGATCCAATGTTTTATCTTCCACGTCTTTCATCATGAACAAAATTGAAGATTCTTATATCAAGGGCTCTCTACATCTTTAAGTAATGAAAATACTTGATTTTGTTTTTATAGCACACATTGTCTGTAGTTTGTCAGCGTAGTGTAATTAGTAAAGGCCCTTAAGGTCAAAGCAAGTTTACAATGAACGGGATGACTACAAGCGCCCTTTATCCAGTGCCTTTAATTATGCTGCTCAGGACAACTACAATTAGTTGTTGTTACCATAAAGCACAATATTGTGATCTAAAATCAGGTCCATCTTCTTCGAAGACTTTGTATAATATAATTGTTTTCCGAAGTTTCTTTTAATTGATGCTAAATTTCACTTTTCAACTTATTAACTGTTTTTTAGCTGCTTTTATCACTGCCTTCAAAGAATACTTTAAATATTGCAACAGTTTTCCACGTATATGTTTGTTTGAACAAGTACAGAACAAGCACGGAACAACAATGAATTAAGAAATGTAAAACCCAGAGTAATTTACTTATTATCCCGAATTATGCAGCACAAGCAAAATATCTGTAAATGCAAATACAACATTCATACACCATTAAACACCCTATTTACTTTCAGATACGCTGTAGCGTCAGTACATTCATGTTTTATTATTTGAATATACAAATAGCTATAAGAAGTTCACATATATATATGCATAGCTTCAAAATATTTACCACATTCACAATACGCAGAGCGATTTCTCTAATACCTACTTTCATATTTTTACTAGAAATAGCTTACATAGAAAACAGTTTACTATTATCTTTCCAACAGTTAAAAATTTTGAATGAATGCGGGTAAAAAAGCCTTTTAAACCTTAAAAATTTGCAGCGTAAAAGTCTTTGAATATTAAGTTTGGAATAGTAGGATACTGAGCAATCGTCCTTTGAAGCACAGGCTATCTCTGCGAAAAGTACTAAGCGAAGTACAGAGAATTAAATATCTGGCATCAGAGTATTAAATTATATACTTCTGTATCCTATGAAATTAAGAAATTAAGCATTGGCACATTGTTCTTATGAAATTAATTTTTGCGATTTCGATTAATGTTTCCAAAAAGAGATTTTTTTTTTTTTTTTTTTTTTTTTTTTAACTGTCTTGGCATTTTTTTTTCCAACAGCATTTCAAATGCAAGTTGTTGCTTATAAGTAAACAACCTATTTCAAGTGCAAACTTTGGAAAGACATTTTTACCGCATTTTGTGACTACATGAATACAACATTATATATATATATATATATAATGGGTGTGCAGTATTTTAATATGCAATGCTTAAGAAGAATCACTAAGCTCACACTAACTAACAAACACAACAATAAGTTCACTCATAGTGAATTTAGCACAAGAAAATGAGAAAAATACATCGAATAGAAAATGCGATGAATAAGGTGCTTTCTTCATCACACTCTGCCGGAAAAGATTTTCTTAACAACAGCAACTTTTATTTAGTCACAACTCTAAAACACTCATAACAGACGTTTACTCAGTGCAAGTACATTACAACAAATTCTTAGCACATACGATAGCGCAACACGTATTAATAATAAATAGATTGATTAAAACAATAACACCACTTTAAATTAAATGACGTGTAAGAAATACGAAATGATACTGATAGGGAGGAGGGAAAGACATACTGATGGGAAGGGAAACAGTGGGGGACTATTAGCTTTTACACAGTTGGGAAAAAAATGACAGGCTTTCCTGAATGAATCGTGAAAAGCATTCGCTTACAAAAACTCACATGGGAAACGCTCAGAAACTCACATAAGGGACTCACATGGGGACAAAAAATATGTAAAGCAAGCAAAGCAATGCACTGAATTACGAATACAAGTAAAATTTGAGGAGAAATGAGACATATTCTGCTCACTAATGCAATATATCTGCATTTAACAATCACGAGAGCAGAAAAATTTAAGTCCGGTTCTTGATGATGGACCGGACCCGTGGATCAGTGGTGTTTTCCGCACGTTTTTTCTGATTTTCACCCGTTTTAACAACGAACTTGTTTCTTCAGAACTGGAGGTTATATTTGTATGTGTCTATATATAGAAATATATACACATGATACTTTTCACGACTAGATACGATTGACCACAGTCTTATGGTTTCAGTTTAAGAAATGAATAAAAAAAGGATATGCTTTCAGGTTGTTTTAATTTCGGATCAGGTTATAGCTTTTAGTAAAAATATAGCATTTTTTTTTTATGTAGGCTCCCTACGGAGGAAGTTCCGATTTCTAAGCTGTTCCCTAGCCTATTAAATATCTTTTAGAAGAGAATAAAAACTGGTTCTTAATACATAACATTAGTCTTGAAGAGAGTTGCCGAGTTTGTAATTTATATGACTTAAACCACTTTCACCTGATGTGCGAATATCGATTTTAGTTTTTGGAGCTGATTAAATTTAAGTTTGAGGTATAGAAAATTTCGAGTCTTAGCACTTCTTGACTCAAACCCATGCTTATGTATAACTTTTGTTTGATGAAATAAGTCTCTCAGAAATCTGATTCGAGAACTTAGCATGCATAACTAACTGTCTTTAAAAGAATCCATACATGGTTTTCTAAATTTTAGTTAAGAGTATCTGTATTTTTTTTAATCAGTAGAAAATGAAAAAAAAAAAAAAGTATTTCTGCATCCATAAAGAACATTTATCTCACCGACATTATTTTCGTCTGAGGCCCCTATAAAAGCTAAAATTTCGTTTATTTTTACTAAAAGGTGTCACGTAACCAAAGCCTTGTCTGAATACAGTGGCACAGAATTTAAAGCCTAAAAGCTGTCATAACTTTATTTAATTCATTTCTTAAAAGTGAATCATAGGTCTGTGATCAATCGTTCACGAGATTTTTAGCCGTGCGATCGCTGTGAAACACAACGTAAAATTAAAATTTCTAACGTATGTCTGCAGTCTAAAAAATATCAGTAGATAAATGAATAAATTAACTATTCTATTTCAAAACGATATTAAAATATTCCACAGTGCAGAATTCTTTTGAATGCTCAAATGTTAGAATAATTTTATGCTACTATAATTAGCAAAATGCGTCTAATTTTTGAGAAATGAATTTAGTTATAATTTTTTGAAAACTGAACCCTTTTAAACAAGCAATAAATTTATACAATTTATAAATTGATGTGTTCTCATGAGTTTCAGAACAGGCACACAGTATCAAGTTTTCTGAAATGCACGCAATTTAACATTTCTAGCATCATGTAATACAATAAAAAATAAAAAATTAAGTACTGTAGTTCAAAATTAGAAGTTTTTAAAAACAAACACCGAGTTCTGTAATTTATCTACATACAATATTTTAAAAAATTTTATCGTCTTCATTTCACGAGTTTCATAACCACATATAAAAATCTTTCGACAGTGCTCTGCATTTTTCTTCAATATTGGACTAAAATATATTTCTTTTAACAGTTGACCTAATAGATAACACAGATAATATTAAAAATTTATTACCTCTCTACATGAAGAAGCATATAACATCTTAATTTATTCATATATATATTTAACAGTTTTAACGTTATCAATATAAGCTTGGGATGAGCACATTCAAATGTCTTTTTATGGACTTTCATGTTTCTTTTACAATATTGTATTAAAACATTAATTATTTTCTCCCAGTCGTTTAAAGAGACAACCCAGATACTATAATTTTATTAAGTTTCTCCATGAAGACATCTTACGTATATTGGGTAGCCTGAATAATTATCTAATAATATAAGAAAAGAATGAAATACCAACAAAAAGAAGGAAACATTTTCTAAAATTATAGTTCCTGTATTTGAAACAGCTTACAAAAAATGAACCTAATTAATAAGTTTTCTGAAAATAAGTTTATAAATTAATACTATGAAATGAAATTTAAACAACATTAGTAACATTTCTGAACAAGGTTATTAAGACAGTTTATAAAAATAACCATGGCTATAAAAAACTTATTACGTCTCCTCATGCAGCAACATATATTGCCTTAAATAAACTACATAATTTCATATAATATAAGATTCAATAATTAATTCATATATAGATATTTAATTATCAATTAACGAGTGGCATGATTATATAGAAAGATCTTTTCATAAACTGCTGCACATTTTTATAATTATCATTTTTTCAAAGTCTTTCAAATAGATAGCACAGATATTAAAATATTATTAAGTCTCTCCATGCAGCGACATATAATATCTCCGTGGAATAAAATGCAAAAGTAGGAAAAGATTAAAGCAAAGAAGACAATAATTACGAATGAAGATTCCTGTATTTGAAATGGACACAATTTAGCTTACATAAAATGAACCAAATTAATAACAGTTTCACTGAAAATTAGATAACTTATATTAGGTAAAATTTAAAAACAAATTTATTAGAAAAGTTTAAAAACAGTAACATTACCAACAAACCTAGAGAGACTGACGTTATAAATGCATTATTGATTGCATACAACGCTTCTAAAATTTTTTTATGATTTAGTTGAGAGAACTTAAGGATTCATTCAAGAAGCTCCCGCTGAGGAGATTAAATAGTTTAAAATTTTGAATTAGCTCAAATTTTGAACAGTATATTGAGTTTCACCGATTGTAAAACGTTGGGACTTATTATTTTATTAGCAATCCAAATCATTTGTTAGTTTAAAGAACGTTGTGAGAGCGAGAGGTAATTGAACACCTGAATAATTTAACTTCCCTTCTCGCATAGCATTTTTTCTCACGAAAAATGCACTGCAGCTTAAAACATGCCTTCTCTTTTCTTTGCCATTTATTTGTTAAATGCTTGGTCGGTTTATCGCCTTCAGAAATTATGAAGGCAGGATTTTTAACTCGCTCTTAACAGACTGAGAGCCAAGCGCATTTAGAAATCAATTCCTGTGGAGCTTAAAAGTCGACAAAGTCATCGCAGTCATTAAGCTGAGGTTTTATAAAGATAAAATGAAACAAAATGAAATACTCCCAAAGCATCGCTTGCTGAATAGTTTGCTAGTGGGCTAATTCCAGCTACCATTGAATATATCTTCCACCTGATGAAGTAAAGCGCATAATATTTTTAAAAAATAAGCATGAGGGGAAAACCTAGATGTATAACAGTTCTTGCTGTAAGAAATATATATCTGTTTGAATCGGTTATAGCCAAGAAAATATGTAAAAAAATCATAGTATATGCCAAACGAAACAATAACCATACGCATTTGTTTTTTAGAAATTATTCAGAATGAACGCAGATTTTGATAATTTTGTTACAAATGTATACTCACTAACAAAAATCAGATTTTTTTCATTGTGTTGATTAAATGTATTCACAAATACTTAATAAATCTGTTTCTGCTCGAGTAAATGAAGTCGCCAGCCGTAAATAAATGACAGGGCTTCTGTAGCAAGATATGCATCACCTATACAGGTTGCTTATTATAAATTGCGCGGCAGAATATTTCTTAAAAAATTGGTCATAGATTCATGGTTACAGATTAAGAAATGAAAAAAATAACATAGACTTTCAGAAAATAACATTTTTGATCTCGTGATATCTTTTAACAAAATTACATAAGATTTGTTTTTAAATAGAACAAAGAAAAATGTAGTGTTTTTATCTAGCAACAAGATCCAACTAATGCAAAAAAAAAAAAAATATCATAATGATACAATAAAAATTATTTGAGACGATGTCAACTAAGGGGAGCTGGGAACTGTGCACAAATCCGGCTAAATTAAATAATAAATTTTCAAGTGCGGTTTTCCATTAAACACCATTTATGTCACAGAAACAGGAAGATAAGCATGGGTTTAGATTTAAAATTTTAGAAATGTTCATTTTCAGATTTTTTCTTTAACCAGATTTGACCACTAAAATTGATGTTTTCGCACTTTCTTTTCATCGGGTGACAGTGATATAATTTTTGCATTTTATTTCAAGGCTATTTGTCAATTTTTCATTTTGCAGAGACAGATTTTATTAAAAAGACTTGATATTGCAAAGAAGAGCTTATTAGTTAGAACTTCCTCTGTACAGGGCTCGAAAAAATAACAGGCTTGCTAGAATTATGTGATTAAAACTGTTGTAATCTTATTTGATTCATTTCTGAAGCTCGAACCATGGGTTTATGACCTTTCGTCCAACGGCAGTTTAATAATCTAGTCTCTTTAAAGCACCGTGTATATGGCTGATGGGATATTCAAAGTACTAAATTATTAATTCATTACAAATACGTAGGAATTAAATTCTTTGTCTTCAGTAAGGATAAAAAAATTTTCCACAGAAATGTGAAGAAATATCCAAGTGTGTGATCATTTGGACTAAGTGCATTGTTGTAACTTTTACAATGTATTCTACTGGCGGCTTTATTTTAAAATATAACGTGAATTACTAATTTTATTTTAAATAAAAAAATCTTTTTTTTTTTTTGAATATACGTTTTAGTTTCAGTACGTGTTTTTTTTTTTTTTTTTTTGGATGAAAACAGTCCTAAAACCTAATTCGTAAACTTTGCAGCACGAATCATTGACCATATTTGATGAAGTCTTTCTAAATTAATATGCAATAAAAACTGTAATCCAACAAGAAACAGTTATGAGATCACATTTCTGTCAGCATCATTACTATTTGAGATGCAGAATTTGGCATGTGCCGTACAAAGCGTATGAATACTGCTATTTATGATAGTTCTTAAAGTCATTATAAAATTTCATTTAATAGAAATATATCTAATATTACGCAGCTGCTTTAAAAATGCTGCAAATGTTCAGAATATTGAGCGATTAATCTCAGCGCTAATGACAATATCATTGGAAAAATACACAATATAGTTTGGAGATTTTTCAATTATTTGCATACCATAAAAATTTTAAGATTTCTAAAATCGAATACCTTTCGAAAAGGCAAATTTTAAAAACAACTAAAAATTATTGACGTAGAAATTTAGTATAAAATCTCATAAAATGAACAAATTTTTTCAGTGCTCCAATGCAATTCATGCTTTTTGCCATAGTAGAAATCGTGTCGTAAGCTATTTGGTTCTCTAAAGAATGTTTATAAAGAATGTTATTAAAATACTTATTACAGAACAGGGATTCTCAACCGGGGGGGGGGAAATCTCCCCCAAAGGGGATATTATGCGTCTTATTGGAAGGGTGAGATTTTTCGATTTAATACTGATAGATGAAAAGCGTAACAAAAGGTTCACAGCAAAGAAAAGTCAAAGACGGAGTGAAATCACGTGACAAAAAATGGAGGCCAAAAAGTTGTATTCAGTTAGCATGCAAATGCAGTGAAATCAATGAAAAGCTTCCTTATATTTATTAAATGTAATAAGCCTTAAATCTGTAAATATATTCACGGAAAGAACCTCTAAACGATTGATTAACTTAAAAAGAGCATTCATGAAAGTATTGCTCATTTGACATTTATGTTTTAAGTAAGGTTAGATACAATGTGATTTCACGTGCGAAAAAATGGGTACTTGTCTTCTGCAGACACCTTGGAGAGATTTGGCGCATTTCAGCATTGGCGAGAATCAAGGGAGACAAACCGTTGCCGATCTGCGTATGTGTGAGAAACAAATGGTTAACAGTTTGACAGGTTTTTCGCAATTACATTCTATCAGTATAGTTGGTTTTTTTATTTAGCAACAATTGCTGAAACTATACCCACTTGAAAGAGTCCATAAAAAGTGAATTTTCCTGTATGTTTATATATATATAGTACATTGCTAATGGGATTGTTCTGAATATAACAGTAAGTAGATTTTCCCCATGTATTTAGTAAAAAATAAAATTTTCTGGAATGCTTATGTACGTTGTTATTTTAAATAAATTGTTTACATAATTATTTTTAAATACTGTAATTAAACACGTTTAATAAGTTTTGAGGAACTATATTGTAATTTTAAATAAATTGCTGATAATATTGTATTTATAGTATCGTAAACACAAATTTATATTAAAATCGTTCTGCACGTATATATTAAATAATTTGCGTTGTAATAGATATTGAATGATATTCAGATTCATCATTTTCTTTTTCAACTAATCGCATTTTCTTAAGCCCGAATTGCACCAATGCCGTTTTTTCTAATCAAGGCCACCACAGAAGACACGTACAAAAAAAGGTCTAGAAATCCAAGAAGGACATTTTAAGCACCTCCTGTAATAACCTGGCAGGATATCTTTACAGCATACTATACTTTTATTTTGCTTATTATTTGGAGTAAAACAAATTTGTAGAGAGGGAGGATTGGCATACTGACACGTGCTGAGAAGGAAGCAAGGAGTATAGAAATAAAGTTTGAGAACCACTGTTACAAATAGAATAGATTAAAAACTAAGCTGATAAATTTGTGAGGTTTGGCTCAGTTTATTTAATGCATCACTACATTTTGAGCAATTATAAGTATTTTTGTTCATTACTCATATACAAAGGTTTTCTGTATTACCACATTAATCATTCTAATTTGAAGAACATGATAATTTCTGTTGTTAAAATTACAGCTACTCATAAAGTATAAAGATTTAGAACTTAAGTAAAAAAGAAGCCAATGTACTTAAAATATCTAATTTTGATGCACCATTAAATGCTTCAGATTTCGCAATAATCTTACAAAATGGAGCACATAAACCCAGCATCCTGCAAGGAGCTCTGCAGAATAGAATTCTGCAGAGTAACTTGAGCATCCATGGGCAGAAGTTCCACAGTAAGCGGATCTATTTCTCCTCGTTCCCTGCGACATCGGTTGCACCCGCAGAAGATGGGATCTTGTCCATGAGCAACTGGCGGAGGTGGATAGCATCTCTGCTGGGTGTACGTCAGGAATAGCGAGGGTGGATTCTTCTTGAATGCTACGAAGAGTTGCTTCCCGCGCCGATCTCTCGTTTCCCTCGTGGGTTGGCATGCTACGATGAGCTGCTTCCCGTGCCATTCTCTCATTTTCCTCGTACGTGGGCATCGCAAAATTCGAGTGATTCATAGCCATCCCTTTCTGAATGCAAATAGGACAGTTGGCAATGCCCTGTTGTGGTGCCTTCCTCTTCTTCTTTTTCCCAAATCCAAACTAAAAAGAGAAAACAAAATACAACATAAATTAAAAAATGCTATAAAATCAAACATCCCCCCCCAATGGTGGGCACTTGCCTACAATGGCATTGGCCACTACTAAGGCCAGAAGTGACGGCTATTTTATTGTGGAGGCATCTAATAGACGGCCACCGCTACCTCCTATGAAGAGACACACAATTTTACATCGAATGCTTTCTCCGGTGTTCGAACCTGGGCCTTCGGTATCGCAATCTGGCGACTTTAACCACAATACCGTCTGGGCAGCACAAAGCCAAACATAAAACGGTCTTAGTCCAGATTCAAACAATATGGAATTCAACAGGAATTCAAGTAATTAAAAAGCAGATAACAGCCTCATTTTTCATTCTAATTCTTTTATCATTTATATTTTATAATCATCGAAATAATATGTACAGGAAATACCATCCTTTACAGAAAACTTTATCCTTTGGTAAGCAATACGTTTGTCAAAAGATTATCTTCCATGTGCGATTTCGTTTCTAATGAATATGTCAGTTTATATTGCCAGAATTTTTTATTAATTCTACAGATTGCCTTATTTTATAGAATTTCACCACTTATTAATCTCGCAGACTCTGATATATTGTATGATTATAATTACTATACGAGTCTTCAGATAATAGAAATGAAATTCGTAAATTATTATCGTATTTTCAACACTGAAGGATGATTTTTGTTCAGTATTCTATATAAGCTTTCTCTACTAGTATAGGCACTTATATACTACAAGTTTCTTTGATCCTAAAGTTTAACATTCCGCAAGCCTGCCAAGTACAATACTTCTTACACCCTCTGACAAAATCAAATAAATAGTTAGGTATTCTAGAATAAACTTTTGGGTTTATTAGAACAAAATATAGAATGGATGCCTTGGTTTGCTGCTTTGTATCATAAAGATAGTTTGAACTCAACTGACTGTGAATAGAAGACCCCTCTTTTAACAGAAAATTCCTAAAAATGAAACTGTTGAGAAATTAGCTAGAAAATCACATCACTCAGAAATACCTAGTCAAAAATAATTTCGATGCACCCATTCTTTCCAATATGTTAAAAAGAAAGAAGAAATAAATTATCCAAGCGCAAAGGATTCTCAGCATTCTATCCATCTTTACCACTTTAAACGCACACTAGCAAATGCGTAAGATAAATTAAGATGAATTAAATCAAAAATGTTTCCTAATTCTAGAATTAAGGAATCATAAAAATTTTAGCCAAATTAATTCCAGTATATTAAGATGCTGATATTCTGGGTTTAGAACTTAAAACCAAATTCGAAATTTTTATTATTGTTTTGTAATTAATAGTAATAAAATACATTACTGTTACTGTACTCGGTATTCCATTTTTTAAGTGTGTTATCCATATCGCTTCAAAGTGATTTAAAACTGTGAGAATAGCAATGAATACAAAAACACTCTCATATGCCTGTACTGTTTGGGGATACGCTAGTATTACTAATGTTAAGAAACTTCAAACACTGTAAAATATATTACTTAGACAATCGGCAAACTGTCGATGGTTCATCAGAAACTCGGCAGTTCAACCAAGAGCTTGAGATGCCACCTTCTCTCCATGCCAATTGCTTGTTCATTTTGCTAACCTTGCTGAAACATTCTATAAAAATATTCCAAATGTCAACAACAGCACTATTCCAGTGCTTAATTACGACTATAACACTGAAAGAAATAGAAAACGACCGCTTGCGGTCCTCAGGTACCTCGATCAGTAACTGTCTTTTTAATTTACGCATTCACCTGATTGTCACAACTTAAATATATCTATACACTATTTCATACTGATTGTTTTCTGGTGTTGCTGTTTTTTTTGTAAATGTTTGACTTGTATGTATTGTATATATTTTACTTTTCATTATGCTTTATATTCAATGTTACTTTATGTTACTTACTACTATTAACTTCCTACGAGGACTCTATTGTTAACTTCCCACGAGGACTCTCATATTCAGTGAGCTTTACGCACTTTTTTGTTTTTCTTCTCTCCATGCCAATTGCTTATCATGCGCACTTACCTTCGTCATGGCCCGCACCTACAGGGGTGTTTCTGTTCGACTCATTTATGTACTCTTCCAGACTTTTATTACTGCTCTAAACTTTCATTTGCATCGACATGTACTACAAACTGTTCGAAACTACAACATTCGAAAGTCGGAAGCATTACGCCGGGATAGTGACTTCACGCGGGTACCCGTTTTTGCGAAACTCTTCGAGTTTGCCTGAGCCGACCATGCCAGCAACTAGTTTATCGCAAAACAACTTGTTGAACTCTATGGCATCATTCAGGACAATATAGTTCGTGTTGCTGTGCAAAGCAACTTTTGAAAACATTTGAAGCAATGCGGCATTTTGAACAAAGGGCATTTGAGCAAAGACGCTTGGGTTTCTTTGATCAGAAACAGATGCCTATCATGTCGCCAAATACTTCATTTTCCAGTTTTCTCAATGTCTACCCCAGTTGTTTTCTTATACCAAGATGATTCTGACGACGAACACAGACAATTCAAGCTACACAAAACGATGTGATAACGAATCTATGAGAGATACCAAAGCAGGCATTCTGTCAATGCTTCCTGGAATGTTAAGGAGCGCTGGAGCGAGTGTAGTCGTTCCGAGAGATGTCAACTAGAAGATGATTAGGTAATAAATTTTGTTTTTCAAACGGAACTGCGCTACAAGGATTTGCCAGAAGCTTTTTGAATACGGCATTATTTTTCAATTGTACTATGTTTATACAGTCATTATTAATCATTATATAACTACATATCCTATTTTGTAATGAAATAATTTTATTATTACAGGCACAGAAAGGTAAAATTATGTCACCAATAATTATGACTATCGTAACTTAGGAAAAAGTCGAAATATATCGCTAAAGATACGTAAATATAAGAAATATAACAATCAGAAACCACTTTATTGTTAATTAATCAGAGTGAAATTTTCATCATGTTTCAGAAATTTCGAAAGTGCATGTATACATTTATACTTGAGTAATATATTTTGACCTCAAGAGAGGATAAAAGAAATCTTTTTCCTCTTTCTCAATCGATTTTCCGAACCAATAACTTTTGCTCTTGTTCCAGGTGTTCTTTTGACATTTTACTTGTTTTTAAAGTAGAAGTTTCCTGAATGATATTTTATTTCTTACACGAGTGTTTTTTCTTTAAACAAATCAATTTAAGCTGAAAATATCGAGTTTATGTTTGCTCAAAAAGTCTCTTAGTGAGCTAAACATCACTTTTCTCTTAGTTTTCCCAAGGAATCTGGATTATTTCTTGTCTTTTTTCATGTTTTATATTCAGTGCTTAATCTGATTTGAAATATCAATCCTACTAACAGGAAGTTACTTATTTATCTACAAAAGAATACAATCTAAGATAAAAGATTTTCCTTGATTTCTGTTTGATGAACTAACTACCTTTCTGAAATACCTCTCTGTTAATTAAATTATATGTGACAATGTAAAATTATTTAATCCAATATTTTTTATTTTAACAGACAAGCACTATTTTGAGTGAGCGCAAAATACTGTCCATTAATACTTTCTAAGATTTAGAAAACTGGAGGCCAGAGGCAAAATCCTGCTTTTCTATTTTTAGTGCAGCAGAGGTCACTGATGTAAAGTATTTCGTGAAATAACGTAATAATTACAGCGAGACCTCGATTATCCGAGGTAATTGCGACTTTGTTCCTCTCGGATAAAGCGAAAACCTTAATAGGCACTAAATTTTAAACCATGCCAATTTCTTTCTCGAAAAGGTTTTTCTGAAATTGTTTATTTACAATTCTAAAAATAAGCCAATTTCTCTTTCAAAAAGGTTTTTCTGACATTGTTTATTTCAAAGTCTGGAAAAAAGTGCACTATTTATACAGTTAAACATTTTAACCAACTCTTTTATTAGTAAATACAACTTAGTTTCTTCAGCTAAACAAATAATTCACGCAAGGTTTTATTTCATGATAAAGCTGGAATAAACAAACTCCACCAAAATTTTTGCAATAATGGTATTTTGCGAAATTTTTTACATGTATTTTATGAGATATTAACTGTTTTTTTTTTTGAAAAATCTATTACCTTTTTTACTTCCTTGTTTATGATGGTACTATTAACCCTTTGAGTACTGAATCATTTGAAGATTTTTGTCCATGGGACGGTTTTAATTTGTCGCTATATGGATTAATATGTAAAAGTAATATATTTTATTTGAAATATACTTATATTGGTGATATAAATATATTTTTGAAACAACATTTTAGTTACAACACTGATTACGGTGGACGAGTCAGACTCGTTCACCGTAACTTCGTTCAATTAAGCAGATGACGAGACTCACTCGTCAAATGTACCCAAAAGGTTAACCTGTAAGCGAACGCACGACCGCTTTGCTTAAAGCTTTAGCATGACTAATTTCCGTATTGTCCGTTTTCGTTTCATCGCCATTCATATATTTCCTCAGGTATTCTTAAGGCGCGAAGGTCTCAACCCCCTCAAAACTTGCGGGAATTTCATTTCCTTTTTTAAATATTTATCCATTTCGAAACGTCATGTTGAGTGAAGTCTTCGCATACTTTTATCCTTTGAAATCATGCCTATGAATTTATTGTCCTTTGGTGTGTGACTGTTTTAGCGTTATTTCCGTCTTTAACACAAGTAAGCCCCATCTTTTATCGTAAAACACAAAAAAAGGCCATTAAATGATACCTCACTCATAAGAGAATTTGCGAATTTCACAAACTTTCGTTTAATTTTCCTTTCTAAAGTTACCGTATTTTTCCAATTATTTCTTTAAATTGCTTCTCGGCTCAGTAAATAGAGACTTCGGTTTACAGAACTCCGGTTAATAAAGATTCTATTGTATTATATTTTAATTTAAAGTTATTTAAATAAAAAAATTACATTTCACTTTTCTGTATATTTCGTTTTTCATAATTTCAGCTTACTATGCGCTGTATAAAA